AACATTGAACGGGCGAGTCACGAGCTGGAAAGGCTCATCCTACACCTCGGCCCTTACTGAAATTCAGTGCTCAGGCTGCGTCTGAAAATGATTGGGCACAGGAATGATCCATCCGTAACTTCTTGATGTAGCTGATCGCACAATGTATCCGACAACGCTACTCAAAACTGGCCAACCGCCACCCATCGAGTTTCTGGACGAGGATGGAGGCATCAGGTGAGCACTTTCCCGCGTAGCTGTCCGTCAGATCCTCGAAGGCATTCCTTAGGATAATGTAGCCGTCCCAGCAAGGATGCGCAGGTCGCGGGTAGTCGTTGGACCAATGGAACAGACAATGATCTGCTGTTAGATAGTGTCTCATGGCCTCTGCTGGTCGGGTAAAAGGCTGGGCGGACAAGAGCACGGTGAACATATCTAGAGAAGTTGACAGGAAGACTGTCGAAAAAGCATCGACGAGCAAACTGGCAGAGTCAGAGTAGATAGCAGGGTCTCGGCAGTGACGTCCGTGAGCGGACGCAGTCTATGATTTTTTGGTTTGGTTACATCAGCTATAGCAGGCGTTGATTTTAGGCGGGGCGCACCATTCTGACAGTCTTCGTCTGTGCGGCTAACGTTCTGCCGTGGAGCGCGCATTAGTTTATGTCGAGGGGGCGAGTGAGCTGCGCATACAAAGCACCAAGCCCCTCTGTCAGCCATTGGAAGCAGCCTACCAGCACGGAGTAGGCAGGGGGACATCGAGAGAGGAAGGTTTAACTGCTGGCCCCGCCCAAGCTGTGCGCTGGTGCGCTGTCACTGCACAACTAGCCCCGAGCTTGTTAACAGAGGAGACGCTGTTCAGATGTTTGCCGATGCGATTTGTACATTGTACGAAGGCAAGGAAAGTAGGGAGCAAAACGGAGCAGAACAGTCATGGACGAGAACAAAAGACCGAGTCAATCCCATTTCAAGTTGTCTCTGCGTCCATCCCAATGATGTATGAACGATCAGGCGAGGTGGTAGTAGCAGGAGAATTGAACTGAAGACGGGTATTGGGAGACGTTGTTGAGCCACCTCGGCAACCTTGACGATACCTACAGTATTGATGTAAGAGCACGGGACATGAGCTACCAGAGAAAACACTCGTGACTAAGCTGTCACTGCTGGTGCTCAATTTTACAGTGCCTCGCTCGGTGGAGGAATGACTGCAGGCTGCGTTGCTCGATGTAATATCCTGCGTGATCATCTTGCCTTTGCCGCGCTGTTCGTGACGACAGCTGTGCCCGCTGCACCGCTTTTGGAACAGTCGCGTGACGTCACGCAAACAATCACGTGCGACGCGATAGTCACATGTCCGCGCTTGCGCGCGGCGCGTAAGCCTCCTGCGAGTGTGCTGGTCATGACTTATGATTCGCTTTGTCGACGAGGCTTGCGTCGTGCTCTGCCCATATGTTTTCTTACAGCTCAAGCAAATATTCCCATGGTTACAAATCGGCAAGCTAGCCAAATACATTTGACGGCATGTACACCCCGAAAACTGCACAGGAAAACATACAGGTCGTAGCAACCCAACCAGCCCTGCGACGCGCGCTATGACATGAACTCATGCATTCTACCTGTGCAGCGGTCCCGGTCTTCTCTGGACGGGCGAAGATCGCCGGCAGAGCAACGCGCATGTCCTGCACGAAACCTTCGGACCGGGGGTTTTTCGGGCAGTGTTGCCGTGGAACGAGCCAGACACATGAGGGGCGACTTGATAGCGTCAAGAGGGGAGTAGTAGGCGCAGCAGCTCGAGGTGTGGTCGTGTACGGACAAAGAGAGTTTTATAAGACCTGCACCAACGCTAGGACGCACTATTTCGTGGACGCGATACGCGTGCGGGTTTGCGCAGGGCCATGCTTCTGTGCTTGGCATCTATCTTGATCCGGGTCGGATGGAAGCAAAGTCCGTTGCGTCCAGACGAGCAAGCCCCTGCGAGCATGGGTATGTACGAGGGAGCACTGCCGCCGCTTTGTAACAAGGCGCGATCAGATGGTGTCCCAAGCGCGACGGGTCGAAGTTCCCGGCGAAATCGTCCTGGGAGCAGTACGGTTTACACAGTAGAGGAGACGATCCTGGAGACGGCTGCGATCCAGGAGGAGGGACAGCGAGCGGCGCGAGTTATGTGATAGCTGGCGTTCGAGTCCGTGTGTACGTTGGCAGCATAACAGGCTAGGCCGCCAGGTCTGCTTGGGCGTCCGTGATTATCGCGGTGATTGTGTCGCAAGCTTTGTTGGCTTTGTTCACTTTATGTAACTGCTGGCAAGCGTGAGTGCAGAACCTAATTCACGCATTGCTACGCTGCAACGAAACATGCATGCACTGCGTACCAGGTTCCCAAGGCTCAAGGCCTACTGTTCTTGTAGGTCGGATACATGCCGCGCCGAGCAGGTGTGTTACCGGGTGCAAACATGATCATCTCATCAAGCACGTCGGTAGTCCGAAGGGGAACGGCCAAGGAACAGCGAACATCCGCGCAGCGCACAGCTGGTGCGTTCTCGTTCCGAGTTTTGCTCAGCAACGGGCATCGATGTCCGTGTGCGTTCTGCTGTCCGACGTCCAGGAAATTGAAGGAAATACGAGCAGGACGTGCGCTTATGGCCGACGAACGATAGCTGGCACATCAGGATGGTAACGGCATGGCAGCAGAAGGATGTCGTCGCAGGAAGGGAGACGGAGTGGTCGAGAGGCAGGCACCCGAACGTTAACATTGGGCGTCGAAAGGCAACGGGAAAGCGCCCGTAGGCCGATGTGATCTGGCTTTTACCTGGACGACGTCTGGACGAGGTTGAAATGTAACGCCATGGACTGCCTGCGCATATCACTCTAATACCATCCTACATTCTCCTCTCTTTTCACCACCACCGCTCCTTTTCTCGACACAGACACTATGAGCCCTCACTGGAAGGGCAAGGCCCGCGACGACAGCTACGGCAATGGTGCCACGGACGGCATCGTCCTCCCCCTCGACATGCTCATCACCTCCTCATATGACGCCGTCTACACTCTCCCAATCTCCGTAGGCGCATCATCCCAGGCACTCTCCATCCAGGTCGACACAGGCTCCTCTGACCTCTGGATTGCCTCCACCTCCTGCTCGACCCAGGCCTGCAAGCAGACCAATGGCAATCTCTACGACCCGTCACAGGCCCAGTCGACGGGCCAAACATTCCAGATCAGTTACGTCGAGGGAGCTGTCAGCGGGCCAATCGTATGGGACACAGTAACACTGGGTGGGTACGAAATAGACGGGCAAGCACTAGGTACGTCCCGCTCCTCTGCCACACACGATCTCAGTCATCATTCTTTTCACAGCCGCCGCAACATCCGTTAGTTCAGAACCCCTCTCTCCCGACTTTAGTGGAATTCTTGGGCTCGCCCTGCCCGCCAACTCTATCATCGCATCAGACGTGCCGCCCACGACCTCTAGCCAGCCAGACGGGGCAGTCCTGGCCTCCAATCTGTTCACCATTTCTCCTCACTACATGGCACCTTCCTACCGCTTCATCTCTCTCACACTTGCACGACCAGACGGCGGCAACTCCTCAGTTCCTTCTCTGCTCGGTCTCGGGCGACATCCATCACAAGACGTCGTTCCGGACCCCAGCAAAGTTCAGTACTCCACCCTCGCAGTCCCGTCGGGTAGCACAGGCAGCGCCCCTCGCTTTTGGCAAACAACTCTCAACGGCATAAACGTCTACGTCGATGGCGTCCAGAACCCCGTCAACGTCGGCTCGACCGCGACCGCGATCGTGGACTCGGGCATGCCCGTCATCCTCGCGAGTCAGGACATCGCGAACGGCATATACGGTGCCCTTGGCATCGGCCCCGGGAGTGACGGCCAATGTGAGTGCCCCTGTTATACCCTGCTCGTGTACGCCGTTACTGCGTCCGACTGACGTCTCCGTCCCGCCCGCAGACTACGTGCCGTGCACGACCCCTCTCAACATCAGCGTGAGCCTGGACTCGCGCTCGGACATCCCCCTGCACCCGCTCGACCTCACCTACTCTGGTCAGGCCTACTCCGGCAGTCTCGTGTCCCCAAGCGGGGGCTCGTCGCTCCTGGCGTCCGGCGCGTCCGTGTCCTCCGCCTCTTCGAGTGGCAGCATGTGCCTCGGCCTCATCCAAGCGTACCCGCCGACCTCGGACGTGTCAAGCCTCGCGGACGTCATCCTCGGCGTGCCGTTCATGCGCAGCGTGTACACCGTCATGGCCTACGACCCCCCAGACAGCAACGGCGCGTTCCCCAACGCGACGACCGGCCCCCCGCGCACCGTCAACCCGCGGCTGGGCCTGCTCGGCCTGATCGACCCGAGCGTCGCACTGGAAGAGTTCAACCAGGAGCGCGTGCTCAACGAGCCGCTGCCGGCGACGCCGGGCTCGGGCGGCAGCGGAGGCAGCACGAACGACACGAACGGCAGCCGGGCGAACGTCGCCGTCGACCACGGCAAGAAGATGACCGTCGGCGTCGAGGTGCTGCTGGGCCTCCTCGGCTTCGTCGCGCTGCTCTTCGGCGTCTTCGGCTCGTGGTGGCTCGTGCAGCGCCGGCGGCGCCAGCGGGAGCGGCGCGCGGCGGTCGCGCGGAGCCTGTACGACGACGACGCGAACGCGGACGGGGACAAGGAGAAGCTCGTCGAGCGCGACGCGATCTACATGCTCGCGCGACGGTCGACGCTCAGTTCGCGCTACGGGCCCTCGGAGGACACCCTCCGCGCGCGGCGGTTCGAGGAACACATGAAGCAGCGCCGCGAGAGCGAGTACGACGGCGAGACGCTCGCGGATGCCCCCCACCACCACTCCCTGCCGCCTCTGCCGTCGGTGCCGGTGCCGGTCCCGGACAAGCTCGCGGACGGACACTCCGACGACGGCGCCGCCGAGTTCGGGGTCCTTCCGCCGCGCCGCTCGCAGTACTACGCGGACGAGCCGACGCTCGTGCACCGCCCCGATGACGACGGCGACGGCAACGACGAGGAGCAGGCACGGCTCATGACCGAGTACCCGCCGTCGCCTGCCCCGACGCGCGCGCCGACGCTCGAGGCCGACGCCGTCGCCGTCCCGCTCCTCGCGCACACGCGCGCAGACTCGTCGCTCGACCTCCCCGCCTCCGCCGCGGCCGCCGTCGCCGCTGTTGTTGTTGCGCGCCCGGCGGAGCGCGTGCCCCTCGGGATGGGCCGTCCCCGGTCGCGCGCGCGCGTGGGCAGCTTCGGCGAGCGCTGCGTGTCGGGGGCCGGGGGCTTCGGCCCCGAGCGCCACGCGTCCTTGCGCACGGTGTCGGGCCCGCGCCCGATGAGCGCGACGAGACGGAGCAGCGGCAGCAGCAGCAGCAGTAGCAGGCCGTCGAGCGGCGGCGGAGTGTCTGTGCGCCGCTTGTCGGGCGTGCTCTCTGGGCAGCCTGCGCCGCCAACGGCGCCGTCGTCGCCGACACCGCCGCCGTCGCGGCGGCTGTCGTCAGAACCGGCCCTGCGGCTAACGCCGGTGCCGTTTGAGGAGAGCTCGGCGGGCCACGAACCATAGGCTTTCACGCACGCCCTGGGTCGGCGTGCGTGCGCTCTTTCGTCTGTGCACTCCGGCGCTTATCTTTGCACCATGGAGACCATGGGCCGTTTTCCTGCGTATACCACCCATCCTCTTCGGTTCTGTCGTACAATCCACCTGTCCTTTTCCAATCGAATGCATGCTCACGCGGACTCGTCATCTTCTAATTTCCACAGCAAGGTCGGAGTCGTATTTTTGTACAGTCACCCTCGTAGTTTTTGTGGTCGGACACTCTCTCACTCTCTCACTCTCACTCACTCTCACGACCTATTTCCTTGGGTTACATACGTCGCCTAAAAGTGTAATTTTCTTTTTTCGAGGAACGGAGGAATAATCGAGCAGGTCTTTTTTTTCGATAGCAAGAGTCGGTTTGAAAGAACGGAGCTTGAGATTTGACAGTTCGAATCACGTATTGGTCTGTAGTTGAGCATGGGGATGCGAAGAAAGAGACATGACGAGGTACAGCGTCGCGGGCACGATGGGGACGGCTGATCTTCCGTTGCATTACGCAAAAAAACACAGTACGCTAGAACACCGAAATTCACACACTTGCTTCGACTCGAACTCAGAGCCCCTTTCGACCTGAACCGAGAGCAACACTCCGAAGCCGGGGGCGCTCCCCTTTTCCTCGCATCGCTCGATCAATGGGTGGCCCAGTACCCTCCGTAGTACCCTAGAGGCGCAAGCCCGTCAGCAGCGACGCACACGACAAAGGGAGTCACGTACAGAAGTTGAGCGCGGTCTTGGACAGGAAGTCAGGGCCGTTGGGGTCGCACTGGCAATCCGTCTGTCAGCGGGGGGCGAACGAACAACGAAGGCAGCAAGCAGCAGAAACACGCACCGTATCGCTAGTCGTCGCACCACCGTTACAAAAGATGCGGAACACCTGGTCCGCGAACGTCCCGAGCGGCTTCCCGTCCTTCTCGAGCGGCGCGAGCGTCACCCACTCGATGTTCACGGCGGGGTCGACAGGCGCAGGCACGAGCCCGGTGCGGAACCCGGTGAGGTACGCCGCGTCGTGGTCCGCGAAGCCCGCGAGCGCGTCGTGCCACGCCGTCGAGCCAAAGTCCCACACCGGGTTGTACGTCCCGTCGGAGGGGTCGAGCGGGTCCGGCACCCAGTACAGCTGGCCGAGCGCGAACGGCGCGTCCGCGAGCCCCGCGGTGTCGACGATGTCCTGCGCGGTCAGGTTCGCGGGCGCGCCGAGCCACGCCTGCTGCACGTCCGCCGTGAAGGTCGCGCGCGCGTCGATCGGGACGCAGGAGATGTCGAAGAGCTCGAGCAGGCCGCCGAGCGAGCTGTGTGTGTGCGTGCGTGCGCGCAAAAAAAAAAAAAAACGTGTGAGGCGTGAAAGACGCGTGCAGATGCGGAGGAGGAGACGGCGCTCACAGCCAGGTGCCGTTCGGCAGGCAGGTGTAGTTGGCGTAGCCGACGCCGAGGACGACGAACGTCGGCGAGTCCGCGATCGGCGGCAGCAGCGGGCGCGCCTGGCCGTCGTTGATGCTCGCCGGGATGACGGTGCTGATGTTGTCGTGGCTGAGGTCGCAGAGGGGCCCGAACCGCTTCTGCAGCGTGCGCGGCCCCGCGGGGCTGGGCACCGCCAGCGCGGCGAGCGCGAGGCCCAGGAGGGCGAAGGCGGAGAGCAGCTTGGAGAGCGGTTGCATGCTTGCGGCGCAACGGTTGGATGGGGAGGATGCAGGGGGTTGCACACGCGGGGCTTATGTACGCCTGAGGTAACAGCTGCCGGCCGACGTCCTTCTCGGGGCGCGACGCACGTACGGTGCCGTTAAAAGCGACTATACAGAGGTCAAACCGAGATGTGAGACACCCTGAGGGTGCCTACTTGGGGCGGGGCGGGGTTTGCACGTTCGAAAGTGTTACTTGCCTGCCGAACTGTCATCTTCGACAATTGAGTCGCATCAGAGATGGAGTGGAGTAGTTTACCCCTCGCCGACGCCGCAGGCATCCCAGAGACCTCTTCCTGGCGCCGCCACGATCGACTAGCGTAGCGTCGGTTAATCACACGAGGTGTGTTAGGATGTCGCAACAGCGGCGCGGCGCCCTTCTGGTGTTCGCGGGAGACGGAAAGGTTTGCGCGGATTGAGTGACGCTGGCTCGGCGTGGCCGAAACAGGGTCGTCATAGGTGCTGTATGGGCACGGTCCAGGGTCGAGTACGAGCATGACTGGCTGCCGGCGATGCACGCGAGGAATTCCGAATACCAGCGCTGAATGAATTCAGGGGGAGGTCACCAGGGCGGACCTGAGCGCTGCACAAGCTCAGGCACGGAGAGGGAGCGTACAAACGCCATCGACAAGCTTTAGGCTATTAGTACGACTAGTGCCGACAGCTCTGCTCACGGGTTACGTACCCGTCACTTGCAGCTCCCCCCTTCGAGACCTTGTGCAGCTCAGACTCCGTGCCGGGCGGTGTACAAGGATGCGTGCACGATGCACAGCCCGTGTTGTTGACGTAGAATGGACATCGTTGTAGCAGGTCGCCCTGCGGCGGGCAGAACAAAGGTGAGTATTTGCTCATGCATTGTCTATGGTTTGCTTTCACTTACAAGAAGCCCCGTTCCGCGCAGACGTGTTGCAAATTCAAACATAGCCTGCGGTCGCCATCCTTGCTCGCAACTAGGTCCTCCCCGACCGTCTGTTTGGGGCGCCGCAGCATGTGATAGTTGATACATGAGAGAAGATTTGAGACGGCAGTCGTGAAGGTGTTGTTTGTGGTCGAGGGTGTTGCCACAAAGCTCGGATTAGCCTTTGCTGCAGCCATGGCGACCGGCGCGCGCATAAGCGCTCGAGGCGCGTTGCCCCCCGCAACGCGCTTCTGCCCCTTTTCACCCTTGTCTGCCACGGCTTCAATTTCACATCTCTGCAGAGAGCTCTGCCTCATGTTCGGCTCCCCCCACAACTAAGACCAACAAAAGCGGATCAAGGTAAGCACACAAACGAGCAAGGATCCTGAAATTTTTCGTTCGATGAACAGGCCATTGTCTCGCCCACCAGGATGTTCCATGTGACGGTTGCATTTCGCGCACTCCGCGCACTCCACGCTCCGTGATACGAACGCACACCGTTCTATTTAACCCAGGTCGAGCCGGTGAGTGCACCACAGTCTCCTCTCCTTCCCTCCTTTCTCACTTCCAACAACGAGCTGCGCTCGTCTCACGTTCTCTGCTGCTGCTGGTCTCTGCCACTCTTTTTTCTCTCTTTCCGATCCACGAACCTCTGCCACCATGGTCTTTGTTCCCTCCCTTCTCCTCTTCGCTCTCTCTGCATCCGCGGCGCCGATGCTCAACAAGCGCATCGACCAGGTGACCGCCGATTCCACCACGAAGTGGGAGGCCGCCTGCACCGCAGCCGGAGGCGGCACCCAGTGCAACAACATCGCCGTCCAGCAGTGCTTCCCCTCCCTGCTCGCCGCCGCCGGCCCGTGCGACCAGCAAAACGCGGCTGACGCCATGGTCGACCTCGCGAAGCAACTCAACAACGACGCAGACATGATCACATTCGCCCAGATCTTTGCCCAGCAGCCCAGGAACTCGGTGCGTCTCGTGTGCCATCCACGCACAATTTGTCTTTTTGCTCACTCAGAAGCTTTTTCTTTTTCTTTTGAACTTCTAGCCGACCTCGCAGATGGTCCCATACTGCCAACAGGCGCCAAAGAACGCCGAGCTCACCGGCGCGTTCCAGTGCCAGTTCAGCGGCACGAGCGCGACCGAGTTCGTCGGCGGCGTCGCGGTCGGCGGCGCCGGCACCATTCCCTTTGGACAGACCCAGGCCGTCAACCCCCGCGGCTCCTGCCCCGCGAACCCGAATGGGCCCGTCCCCGACGGCGAGCAGCTCACCGACATCACCTCGGACCCGGGCAACGTCGGCACTGGTGCGGCGAGCTCGGGCAGCGGCAGCGGCTCTGCCAGTAGTAGTGCTGCTGCTGCGGCGCCGCCTCCTTCTGCTACCTCTGCAGCAGCCGCGACGGCGTCTGCGGCACCGACGACCGTGGACAACAGTGGCAGCGGCGGCAACGCTGCTCCGGCTTCGGCCTCGGCTTCGGCTGCGGCACCGCCGCCACCACCTGCGACGACGAGCACGGCAGCGGCGGCAGCATCGTCGAGCTCGACGAGCTCCTCGGGCGACTTCCAGCTGCAGAACGGCAAGGACGCGCAGAAGCTGAACGCGTCGTTCCAGGACATCTCGGCGAGCGACTCCTGCAGCGGTGCGTCTCCCATAACACACTCTCCTTGCGCTGCCGAGTACAATCTGACACACGGTCGTCGTTTGCAGAGGGCTCGATGGCGTGCGTCACGCAGAACGGCACCTCCGGCTTCGCGCAGTGCGTCAACGGCCAGTGGGCGATCACCCAGTGCGCCGGCGGCCTCCAGTGCTTCGCGCTCCCGCTCGTCGCCAAGCCCGGCACGTCCATCACCTGCGACAGCCAGGCCGACGCCCTCGCCCGCATCGCCGCGACCGGCGCGACCGGCGGGCTCACCGGCTCCTCGTCGAACTAGAAGCGCTTTTTTTTTGTTGTTGCGCGCGCTCCGGGATAGAAGGAGGGGGGTCCCCCCGCTTAATTGTGTGTGCTGTGGAGGGGAGAGAAAGAGACAGCCGGCCCTGCATGGTGCGGGGCAGAGGTGGAGGTGGAGGTGGAAGTGGGCAGCGCAGTGTGCGCGTCTGTGACGCGCCCCGGGCGGCAGTGAGGCGGTTGGTTTTGTTTTCTTCGTCTTTGATGCTGGGTGTGTCCCCCCGCTGTATCGATAGCATTTCCTCTGCACGCTCCGCAGCTACTTTTTGCATAATGAGAAAGACAAGGCTGCGAAGGAGATTCATTGTCTGTCTGGCTGTCCGCGTCGGAACGATGACCAGGGTTGCCAAGAAGCGCGATTTTTCTCCAGAGAACTAGGCCAAAATTGGATAAACAAAAATGAACCGGCTGTAAGCGCAGGTTTCTTTCCTTTGTTGTATAAGATATATTTCTCCGGTTTATACCCGGGAAAATCAGAGGAAAAGCCCTAATTCTACCACGTTTTGACCTGTGTATGTTAATTTATGCCATTTTATGCCTTAATTCGTGCAAACGGGACGATTTGGGGAAATAACGAGAAATTGATTTTTCCGACGCCATCCCAAAATGGTAACCCGCGTCAGCGGACAGCACTCGGCTCGCCTGCACTCTTCATCTGGCACCTGCAGCACGGGATGACATCTGGTGTGTAACCAGAGCATAAGCACTCTCTTCTTGCAGCAAGACAAGGCGCGGAAAGCCTGTTGTAGCCAGCCTCACTGCTATCATCAGTGCAGCCTTCGAAACAGAGGCAATTAGAGATGCCGGAGGGAACCGTGCAGCACAAAGCACCGCGCGGAGTTACGGACGGCGCTAGAAAAGGTCGGTTTCTCATTATTTTCCGAACCAGCTGTAAGTTCGTACCCTGTGTTGGCGCGGATCTCCTGCTCATCCACCATCGCCCGCCCCGAGCGTCCTTACGCCGGGAACCCATGACGCCTACGTCGCGGTCGGCCCTCGAGTGACGAGTCCAGACGTGCGCTCCACACTAGCGGCCCTGCGTGCGCGGTGATCGCGTCCGCCTTACGAGCGGGGGGCCTCCGCTCCTCGTCCGCGTGCGCCCCGCGCGCGCTGCTAGGCTGCTGAGGCTAATCCGAGACATTTTTAGCACTCACTCTCTAGGATGGCCCGGAGGACCCGACGTCTCTGGCGGCTTTGCACGGCTTCTGGAGTGAGCTTCTTTCTGTTTTCTGACGTTATGTGCTCGGCCTGGGCAGGCGGACTTCCCGTTGCGCGCAGTGCTTTTTTGGGGGTGTTCGGGCGAGGCCCGGGGACGAAAGACCCTCGTCCGCCCGTGCCGAGGAGGACGATGCCTGCCGCTGGAGCGACAATGTCACCACGCACGACCGCGAGCGACGCCTTCACCAAGGATGCACGGAAAATCAGGCAGCCCTGGTGACGTGCTGGAGGCGGGGAAGCCGCCTGGTGACGGGACCCTGTAGGTCATTCCCTGAGGTAAGCATTCTCTGCGAATCCTTCAGAGTGCAACAATGGACTGACAATGAGCCAGGGTGCCGCCTATGTCATACTTTGATGTGACATGTCGAGCGAGCCTGAGCCGCGATCGGAGGACGAGCGGACCCTCGTACGCAGCGCGTCGACACAGCACTCGCGTAGGACTGTTCGAGCGCACCTCCGCCGCCGCTCACTTCACATCATTGCGCGCCCGCGATTGTCGCCCTCCCAGCCGCGAGGGGGGGGGGTATAAAAGCATGGGCGAGGTCGGTCGGAATGTCCTCAGTGCTCTGGGCATTTCTCTCCTGCAGCAGACTCATCAGCCATGTACGCCTTCACGAAGTTGTTCACCGCGCTCTCCCTCCTCGCCGCCGTCAACGCGTTCCCCGCGGCTGACATCTGGGGCGTCCAGCGCCGTGCGAGCACCAACCTCACCGGCGGCTCGATCTGCCCCACTGGCGGCTTCGACATCATGGGCGAGCTGCCCGCCAACATCAACGACAACGGCGGCGAGCCCCTGCCGATGCCCAACACTTCGGCGCCCGTGTACACCACGCTGTCCGTCGGCGTGCAGAACTACACCTGCGGCGATAACAGCCAGTGGAAGTACGTCTAGCCTCGATTTTTAGCCGCTGCCGAGCTGCGCTGACCTATGCTTTTTTTCTTGCCTTGCAGCGCTCAGGGTGGCCTGACCTACCTGTTCGACATGTCGTGCCTGCCCCAGATGCACCACAAGCCGTTCACCTCCTTCATCGCCGCCATCTGGGACTCTGCGCCCCCGACGGTGACCAACCAGGACTTCGAGGCGCTCGTCGAGAAGGTCAACCCGGGCGTCGCGCTCGGCCTGCACTACTGGATCACGAACCCCGTCAACGCGTCGGCGGGCATCAACGCGGTGTGGGACTTCAGCAAGGCGGAGCGTTTCCAGAACGACACGAACAAGGCGAACGCGTTCCTCGTCGCGGCCGAGACCGGCAACGTCCCGGACCCGACGAACCCCTCGGTCAACTCGCCGTGGCTGTACGAGCCCATCCTGTACGTCGACGGCAAGGCCGACGGGCAGCTCGCGACCCAGGTGTACCGCTTCAACTCCAACGGCGGTGCCGCCCCCAACACTGTACGTCATGCTCGGCTTCGATGTTGTGGCTGAAGCTGACCTCCTTCTGCAGTCCTGCACGCCTGGTGCCCCCACTCTCCAGGTCAAGTCCACTCTGAACTTCTGTATGTCTTTCTCTTGTGTGCACGTTTCATATGATCTGAACTTCTCTTTTCCTAGGGCTCTACGGTGGTGCTTGGGAGAACACCATCCAGAACTAGATTTTGGCTGGAGGATTGGTGCTGGAAGTCTGACAGTTTCCGCAGATGTCATGTGTTCTCGGTAACATGTATTTGACTCGGTGCTGTCAGCTCCTGCTACGTTTTTAGAGATATTACTATATACACAGCTATTTCTTGGTCGAACTATTCTGCTTGCCGCCTTCAGTGGCTCGTGTGTCTGGCGCAGGGCTCCGCCTTGCACGATTCTTCTGAATCATGAAGTGCAGAGTTCCTCGGTCTTTCAGTGTGCTGTGTCGGCGCAAACTTGGGTATTATGATCGTACTTGACTCCGTACACGATTTGCTCCTGTGTTCACTCGCAATCCTGGCTCGTTGACCTTTGTGACAGTGTTCGCCAGAGGATAAGTCCCTCCAGCTGAAGGGCGTACTCAATTTCTCCGAACAATTCAGTAGTGATTACATGACATGTGTCTGTCGAGAGTGCCGCCACCGAGATCGAGCCAAGAAGCAAGAGCCCTCACCGGGTGCCGAGCAGCAGAACCAGTATGAACGTGGGTCTTTCTGTTCCATGCCACAGCAATTTCTTAAGAGGTTGCTGTGGGATGGAAAAGAACGTCGCCACCGATTCTAGCAGCCGCTCCGGCTTCACGTTTCCTAAAGCTGCACTTCCTACGACACTTCTGCCCATTATGGGTTCAAGGACCAGACGGCACCTTGGCTCAAGCGGAAGATACTGCGGCGTGAACGTGATATCAGACGG